TCTGTCCTGTATGGGAGAGGTTGCCTTCATAATATACAATAAATATCACCAATTAATTGTTTCCTGTGTGTCAGGTATTTAAATTCACAGTTTTATTTAGTCCTTACTACCAGTTTATGGTATCCTATCACTATTCGTATTTCACAGAGAAACCAAGGCCAGAGAGACTGACTTGTCCCAAACCACTTGAGCTAGTAAGTGGCAGAATCAGGACTTAAATTTTGTCTGTCTGGAATAATCCAGCGACTGGTTCTTCAACGCTGTTCTGTGCTGCCTCACACACAGGCCCTGGATGTCTATGCTTATATCCAGTCTAACTCTGTGATCTTGGGGAAATTATTTAACTTCTGTGAATCTCAGTTTTTTCATCTGTAAAATGGAGAAAACATTTCGTGACTCCTCAAGATATTGGGAGAATCATATGGGAAAACATATGTACAATACCATGAGCACAATGATTGGCCCACAGAAGGTGCCTGACAAATGTTTTCTTTCACTTCCACTTCCTCATCTGTACCAAACTGGCTGAACAACCAACCCAGAGATCTGCTGAATATAATGCAGTGAAGGTAAGCTCTCCTGCCTGCGTGAAGTGTCATTTGCCTGGAGTGCTCCTTCTTGTTTACTCCATCTGCAAGCTTTATATCATGACCCATTAGTGAGTTATTAAATCAAGTTAATGAGTTGTGATCTTCATTTTTTTAAAAAAGGGAGACAAACAGAATGGAAAATAAAATAACACTTTACAAAAAAAGTACAATTTAACTAAAAAGTTTTTCAGCTTTATGCTGTACGTATTTACTGGGTCACAGTGAAGAACGTTTTTCTTACTTAGAAGTTTTCAAGTTAACTCCCATAAGATCTTTAAGAATCGGTTCAGCAGTCTTTGCATTACGAAGCAATGAAGGGTCCAGGCCTTTCTAGAGCTAATTTTTCACCCCATGCTGCATTGTGATTGTCTTCCTCTCATCTTCATCTCATCTCCCATTGGATAAGAGATTCTTGCGGACAGGAAACATGACTTTTATGGCTGAGTCCTCAGTGTTCCTTATAGGACAGAGAGGTTATTGACTTAAACTCTCAAAATTGATTCCTTTGATTAACAAATGAACATGGGCCAGGCTTCACTCTGTCCTGTGACCTTTTACTCCCCATTGGTGAACTGCGCAGCTTTTCTTTCCACCTCTCCCCATTCTCCAAGTCCTGGGTGCTCTTGCTCTCCTTTTTATCATAAGAAAGGCTCTTTCCTTAGCTATTTGCACTTTTATGTGATTTCAATCACCTACATCTCTGATTCTTAGTAGCATTTGGATATAAAGGTCCATTCCTATTAGCAGCAGGAAAAGCCTTGTTCTCTGTCACAGGGATGCTTTCACCAGCTGGTAGGTAAGAAAGAGCACATATTTTAGAGGCAGGGAGAGCTCAATCTGCCCACATAGAGAGCCTCGAAATATGTGCAACAAAATGCGTATTCCAGTGGCTGGGGAGCTCAAGTGCATCTACATCTGAAGAATTCATAATGTACTTATGAAGTATTTTGAAAAATATTTTATTCAAATTTTTAACATTTTATTTACTTTTAAGGTTCTACAACTATATGTTTCACAATGCAAGAAATACACAATACAAAAAGCCCCGTAAATCAAATATATCCAAATCATTCACATAGAACATGTACAGTGTTATCACAAGCAGCAATCAACTCCATTTGTACAGCACTACCAAAGTACTTCAGGCACCTTACACAAAAGATTCAAAGAAGGAAAATAATTACAAGTAGATTGGAAAATAGAGATGGTTGGTTCAAGTTTAGAATGCTGCCTGGCTCAGATATGCTAGTTCCCCCTCCCTCCTTTCAACACTTTCAGGACAAATTGCTATCACCTGGGTGGACTATTTCTAGTAAGGGAATAAGGCCAGCTCATGCAAGATGTAGCCTCTGAGACACAGCCAGGGCAGGGTTAGATTTGAGTGTGTGTGTGTGTGTGTGTGTGTGTGTGTGTGTGTTTGTGTGTGTAGGGAAGAGGAAGCAACTCCTAGGGGAAGGGTGATTTTGTGGTGCAAATATCCTACAAGTCAGCTAAATTGTTTATCACAGAACAAAGAAAGGCTGTTAGCTTTCCGGTTTAGGTTTTGGCTTCATGGAAAAATACCAATGAAACTAAAGAAATCCCATATGTCCTGTAGTGCAGTTTATCCAGTGTAAAAACCCCAAAGGGGTTTGTGTTTGAGTTTCTCCTCTTGGCTAATCTATTCTTTAATCTAAGAGTTCAGGGCTGAGCTGCCAGGAGCAGATTGGGAATTATAGCTAAAGTGCGTTCAACAGCTGATACCACAGAAGCTGAGCCCTTGGGAGGTGGAGTGAGAAGGGAGGTAAAAGATCTTACCCCACCACCAAAAAGCTGTGGCACATCTCTTCCCTCCTGGGGCCTCAGTTTCCTCTCCTGTAAATTAAATAGTGGACCTGGTGATAGCTAAGATTCCTTCCAGCTCTAGACTTACATAAAGCCAAGCATAAGAATATTCCAGGATGTCATTCTCAGATTAAAGAAACATGCTCATCATTTGATATTTATATAATCAGAGAAATCCTGCTACTAATTTATTTTGAGAGAGCAACTTAGTTGACTTTCTAAAATAAGTACAACCAACTGGCACTGGCCCTATTCAAGTGCTCTAGATAAAGCAAGCATCTCTATGAAAATCCTATAGCCATATTTGGTGTAGCCCTGCCCCCCCCCAAAAAAAGGCTGGGGTGGGGGTGGGGACAAAGGTACAAAGTTACTAAAGTACAAAGGTACTAAAAAGATCCTTTTTTAGTAAGAATTCCCTTAGACTTTGCTAGTTCATTCCATTGCATTGCCTTTTTGCTGTTGTTGTTGGGGTAGGGTTTGTCAGTTTTATCACAGCATATGAAAACAAGGCCGGGGGCGGGGGGGTCTTCTAAGTTCTTTCCCTCTGATTTTACTCTATATATGGCCACTATCTCTTCCAATTTTATGCCTCTAAGAGTCATTTAGTGCTAAGATCAACCCTCTAGGTACTAAATAAGTATTAATAATTATACATTTGGAAACCAAATATCTTATTTGTATAGTAGAGAGATCATTTGGAGAATTTCCCATGAAGTGTCAGCTATTTTTGAGTGTCACTGAAAAGAAGTTCTTCATTTCAATGCAACCTCCAACTGTTATTAAGATAACATTCTTTATTACCTTAAATCCTCATCTCTTTTGTATGTCATTCTTTATTTATCATTTTAGAGAATAAAGGTTTGGGTCTGATTAATACTACTCTTTCAAATTAGTCTATTCATTTTATGTTATATCACTATATTACTCCATTTAATTTTCCTAATCTTCCACAACTTAATTCAAAAGACTAAACTATTACCAGTATATTTTCAGCAAAGTTCTTCTAGTACATTAACATTCTTCTGCATCCTATTTTTTTAACAAGATATCAACAATATGATAATTTTTCCTTTCAGTGTTATTCTATATATCTATTTCATTTGCATTAACTGATTTTTCTCTATCCTATTAACCGAATTGGCTTTTCCCAATTTGCTACCCAAGACTAAAGCATTTCAAGATTTAAAATATTTTGCATTACAAAGACCAGCAATATAAAGCCAGAAGGGAGAAAAGAAAAGCCACTTTCCATCATATCTGTGACTTTGGGACAAAACTTGTTCCAGGGTGGTTCTTAATGGCTGCTGTTGTGGATTACACTGGAGTATATCAAAATAATCTTGTGAAATCAAATTTGGAACATTAATAGTCAAAAATAATTTTGTTTTTTATCCTGTTTTTATTTTAAATCTCAGGGCTTCCTAAGTATTTGAACGCCCTAGAATAAGAAGGGACTCTATGCTTTCTCCAAGGACCAGCAAATCAAGGCCTTTGAGAATGTGCTACCATCTGAAATCCTGCTCCCTTCTTGGTCCTGCTGTGCCTATCTGATACACACAGAAGATAGCATCAGAGCCAAAGTGGAATCAATGGAACATGTCAATTCAACTACATAATTTAGTATCCATAACATACCCTTCATGCTAGGGAATAACAGTAAAATCTCAGGTGAGGAGGATATGACCTTTGGTGGGAATCAGACCAGATTTTGGGGCCAAGTGAAGAGAGGAGAATGCAGTGAGGATTGGGAGTGGTTCCTCCAGTGGCACATAGATTCATTTTGACAACTTATTAGGTATCATTTCCCTCCTTTGGTTGTTAATACTTATATTATTTTAAAAAGTATAGTCAGCATGGATGAAGTATATTTTGGAAGGGATATAGGAGGCATGCACTAAGAAGAGGTGCATGTTACAGTTCATTGATGATGGATCTTACTCAAGAGTTAACTACAGGGCTAAAAGACAGGAATGCATTTCAAGTTCAATCAATCTTTTTTTTTTTTTCCTGGTAAATTAATGCATTTTGTCAGGCAAGGAACAGGTAACTTTCACAGTCTGAGAAACGATTGGTCACAAGATACCACAGAAGAAAGTCTTTCCACCAAAACTTGTTGGTAAGAAGCATGTAACTCTTTCACAGAGAACTTTGACTTTCAATCAATACACCAAAGTTCATGCAATATATATCAAGCAGGTCAAGAGGTGATACAAGAATATTTTCTTCCTATACTGACGGTAAGAAAATATCCAAGGCATTGGTCCATATATTCAATTTAAGATGATCAGGAATGAAAATGTTTCTTCTCATTATTTTACTGCAACCTGTACTAAGAACTTGACCCTAGACCATAACATTCTCAAAGAGTAACTTATTAAAAGCAGGGCTTTTTAACTAATTTAACATAATAACATTTCAAAATGTCTTCAAAGTGGTTAAAAATAGTCTTACAGTCTTACAGTGGTGTATTGATGAGCATGAGTTAATAAGAACACATGTTCCATTGGCACAAGGTGTTGCCTTTATCTCCCCAAGCTGCATCGCTCACAATGTGGAGATCACAGTAAGAAATGCTCCTTTGCCTACCTGACATAGAGGGAGCGTTTTTGATTGGTTCGCAGGGACCCGGACCCGGAGCTCATGCTGTGGTTCATCATCTGCTCGCGTAGGTCATGGATTTTGGCCTCAAATCGAGCGTAATCTGGGAAAGGAAACAAAGATGGTAGATTTGGTCCTGAGACTTCAGAGAAGGAGAAATTGTGCACTGCCAAGACAGCTACTTGTCCCTGATGTTGGTTGCTTTGCCAAAACTTAGGGAGATGCACAACTCAAAAGGGTGAACATGAAGGGATCAGTTGCTTAATATTATTTATTTACAGACATTCACAAAAGGAAAAGGACATTCACCAAAGGAAATCAGTTACTTTCCCAAATGTAAATAGAAATTATGCTGCCATCAAATCCCCACATGTGAAAAGTCCGTGGGGGAAGAGGTGTGCATTGTTATATATGGGCGGCACAGGGCATACCTGTGATGATAAAAATGTGCTGTCTTGACTGTGGTAATGGATACAGGTAATTGCACATATGAAGAAATTATATACAACTAACTATACTCACATATACTCACACAAATGAGTCCAAGTAAAACTGGGAAAATTGGAATTAGATTGATGGATTATATCAAAGTCAATATCCTGGCTGTGATACGATGCTGTAGTTTTACAAAATGTTGCCATTGGAGGAAAACTATGAGTAAAAGTTACATGGATCTTCCTATATTACTTATTGCAACTGCATATGAATCTATAATTATCTCAAAATAAAAGCTTTAATTTAGAAAAGGGGGAAAAAAAAAAACAACCCACCAAGACCATGAACAAACAAATATACAAGGAATTAGCAATGTTATTGGGAGGGGAGTTTGAGTCTACAGTTAACTTTCAGCCTGATAGACTGAGAACCAAGTGTTTGGTGATGAATTGTGTAAAAAAACCCAAAAACTAAAAACACCAACCTTCCTTTTAATTTGACTAAATTTTTTTTTTTCTGCTACAGGATTGTTAGAAGCTGATCATTTGGGATTATACCTTAATTTTGCCTTATAACTTTAATATAAAAAATCCATACACTAAACCTCATCACTTCTAAGATGCATAATATATTTAAATCAGCTTCTAAGAGAATGGCATTGGAAATGAGGGTAAATATATTTTAGAAACATTCAAACATATGCGCCTAAAATATCAAGAAAATATAGATATATATCATACTATTTCTTCATAGGAAAAGTATTTTTTCCATATGTCAACCCAATAAAAATGAAGACAGCACAAATAGGTTTTAAGATACTTATTAACACAATCAGCATGTAAAAAGTAAAAGCTTCTGAAGTTTTTATATTCCTGATCACAATTTGTTCTTTCATCTCCGTGGCACATAATGTTTTACTTTAGTAATATCGAGTAGGTGAGAAGGCCAATTTACTTACAAGGTAAATGTAAAAATGCTAGTTCGAATTATAAATAGTTCTTTTGATTACAAAGAAATTCATCATAAAGAATTTTTTAAAATGCTAATTCAAATGATAAATTGTTCTTTTATACAGAGGAACTCATCATAAAGCATTTCCTTAATACATTTCAAAAAACAATTTGATTTTCAATTCAACTTATTCATAACTTTTCATAAAATGAACTAAATGATGACTAAATGAACATAATAAAAGATGATCTACTTGCAGTGTTTCAAATTCTTTACAACAAAAAGTTCCACAAATTAAATTTAAGCTCAATTTACTATCTGTTGGTTATTATGGGGTGGTATATCATAAAAGAGAAGATTTGGGGCAGCCCTGGTGGCGCAGTGGTTTAGTGCCACCTGCAGCCTGGGGTGTGATCCTGGAGACCCGGGATCGAGTCCCACATCGGGCTTCCTGCATGGGGCCTGCTTCTCCCTCTGCCTGTGTCTCTGCCTCTCTCTCGCTCTCTCTGAATGAATAAATAAATAAATCTTTTTTTTTTTTTAAAAAAAAAGAAGATTTGACCTTGGTTTTCAGTGATAAATGGACAACTGGATAATGACCTATGAATGTTAAATATTTTTAAAGTTTAGTACTCTAAAGATAAAACCATAGAAGCTGACTGGAAATTTCTGGTGCTTAAGCAAAGTCTTATGTAATCTAGATTTGGAAGGCTTCCTCTTCAAAGCTTAGCTTTAAGTAATTAAATCCTAAATGACTAAATAAGCAGAACACATATTTAACCTAAAATCTATTGATTATAATTTATGATATTTATTTCAACCCCTTTTTACAGAGAGAAAAAACATTCATTCATAACAATCGATATATGACATATATGACACTGTATACAGATTTAAATCATTTTGGGCAAGTCATCCTAAGAGTCAATTAATATTCATTGGCATCACATGGCAGACACTATGCTTAGTGCTATGTGGGCAATATTTCTTTCTTAAATCACAAAATAAAGTTCATGGATGTTGTCAAAATTTGGACCATATGGAAAAACACAGAAGAAAAATTGAGAGGTCCTCTTAGCTCTTCTGCCTTCCCTACCTTTTCCTTCCTCCTCATTGCTGTCCTTTGCGTAGCTTTCTCTAAAGATACATGATGTGCACAGACAGTTATTAACTCATTTTTTTAAAGATTATTTATTTATTTGAGAGACAGAGAGCGAGAGTGAAAGAGCATGAGCTGGGGAAGAGGCAGAGGGAGAGAGAGAGACAGACTCCTTGTTGAGCTGGGAGCCCGATGCAGGACTTGATTCTAGGACCTTAGGATCTTGACCTGAGCCAAAGGCAAATACTTAACCAACTGAGCCACCCAAGTGCCCCCAACTCATTTCATATATATATACACACACATACCCACATACATATGAGATGGTAAATATATATTAGGCTAATACCTTTTTCTCTTTTTAACTATGTAACTTGGATCTTTTCCTGCCTTCTCCCAAATACATAGCTATATTTCTTAATACCCTTAATGGCATCACATGGTTAAGACTTTATTTAACAGTTGCAGAGAAGTAAAGCAGAAGATAGACCCATCCAGCTTTTTGCTGTTATAAACAGGATATCAGGCTGTGTGAGCACATTTATGGAAGGTTGATATAATGCTATGGTGCAGGTACGAGTCAAAGCTTTGCACAGACGTCATGCAGCCCCCACTCCTAGAGAATCAGATACTCTGGCCTGGAAACAAAGCAGGATCTCTTAGGGTCTTCTGAGCGTGCTTCCACATTGCTACTTCCTAAATACCAGGCATTTCCCTGAGAATTACTAAATCCCCCATCTGCTCCCAGGACACCCTCTCTTACAACTTTGGTGACTGCACTACCATGATAAAAACCTCAAGTCCCACCTCCTATCTCCTACTAAAGCATCTTAATTCAGTGCCAGTCCCCGACCCCATTTGACCACTTTCATACTTTTTTGTGTTTATCACAGCAAATTGCAGTGTTTTGTGCAGTTGCTCATCTTCCCCATTTAGACTGAACTCTCTGAGAACAGAAGCCACAACTCACTCTCGTTGGGCTTCCCTGTTCCTAAAATAGTGTCTGGTATGCAGGAGGCATTTAATAATAGGGGTTCAATAAATGTTTTCTGAATGAATCATAAATGAGGAAGTAAGCAGAACCATTAAATAAGTTTAGTTATAAAATGCCTACAGGTACTGAAATTGCCTGTTCTTGATGTTAAGGATTTTTTTTTTTTTAATGAAGAAAGAAAGACAACATTCAGGACGCCTGGGTGGCTCAGTGGTTGAGCATCTGCCTTCAGTGCGGGGCGTGATCCTGGAGACCTGGGATCGAGTCCCATGTCAGGCTTCCTGCATGGAGCCTGCTTCTCCCTCTGCCTGTGTCTCTGCCTCTCTCTCTTTCTCTCTGTGTGTGTGTGTCTCTCGAAAATAAATAAATAAAATCTTAAAAGAAAAAAAAGAAAAAAAGAAAGACAACATTCTTCTCCTGTGAGACTGACTTCTTTTTTCAAGGCTAAATAGTCTATCCAATTTCAGAGTTTTATTCCTATCTAATTGCTGCCATTCCCAAATCCCACTGATACTTTTCTTGTTCTCCAGGTGATCTCTGTGTTCTCCCCACTTCAGGCATGTCATACATTGGAAGCACTTCTCCGATACTTAACCTGTATCTGATAAGCACTTTGTAAGGCTCTTCTGGCTGTCACATTTTATATGTCACAACAGGCTACTTGCTTTAATAGTAAGCTGTGTTCTCTACTGTATGGCTCATTAGATTCCCCAGATGTTTTCTGCCTTGCTTTTGAAATGTTTGTTTTACACCATATTCTACAGTGTTTACACTCCCCACTGTGGACAGGGAAGTGTTGTGTTATATTGAATTTGTCTTAATTAGAATATATCCTGCCCTCAATTCCTCCACTTTGACAGTCGGGTCAGATCCTATGTTTTTATTTCTGTTTAAAAGTGCTTGCCCAACTCTTCACTCTTTTTTAAAATTTATTTATTGATGTTTAGTAAGAAAGAGAGGGAGAGAGACAAAGGAAGTTGGGGGAGAGAGCCAGAGAGCATCTTAAGCAGAGCCCTATGTGGACTTGATTCCACGACCCATGAGATCATGATCCAAGCCAAAACCAAGAGTCAGAAATCTAACCGACTGAGCCACCCAGGCACCCCTTTATTTTTATTTTATTATTACTTGATTATTCATTATTACATGAAGTAGCCTCCATGCCATTGTGGGACTTGAACTCATGAACCCACTATCAAGAGTTGCATGCTCCACTGATTGAGCCAGCCAGGGACCCCTCTTCACTATTTTTTTTTTGAAAAGAAAATTTAAGTATAAGTAATTTCATCAGAGCAGAAGCAATAAAATCTGAATTTACAAATATAAATGGTATTTGTGAGAGTCACACAGGGACAGAGAGAGAAGAGGAGGAATGTCTCCAGCTTCTCAGAGATGAATGAGTTTATGGTTAGAAATGCTCTAGAATAAATAAGAAAACAGGTCTGTAAATTGTGAGATAGAACTTCTTTATGTCTTATAATGGTGCTGAAAATCAGTTTTCAGCATGACAAAAACTACCACCACCGTGTCCGTTTAAGCTTAATCCCTGCTCTTCTCCCTAAAGCTTTCAGCCCCATTTCTGCTTTCCTTTTTCATAGATTTTTTCAATCAAATCCTAACACTC